CCAGAGCCGTGTCGGTGACTGCAGCCCCATGTTGGAAGAGCCAGGGAGGGGTTGGGACGGTGGTTGCGGTACGGGGAGACCCCCAACCTGTTCAGCTATCATGTCCCCTCACAGGCGAGGAGTACCGTCCCCTGCTCCCCACCCGTGAGACCTCCCTGCGCATCCTCACCACCGCCCTCAGCCCCTTGGACTACCGCAAGTGGAGGAGGAAGCCCTGGTACTGGCGTGTCTTCAAGGTCTTCAAGGTGAGGAGGTGGTGGTGGGGACATGGGGCAGGAGGAACTCCCTCACAGGGTGTCCCCATCCCTGCTGGCCCCAGGGGCTGTGTCACGCCTGGGCTTTGCAATGGCGATGGTGGGACAAGGGCAGGCAGGTGGGGGGACAGGTCCTGGGGCATCTCCTGGGGCGTCCCATTTGGGGGGTTCCTCATCCCCGCTCATGGCTGTTCCTCCCAGGTGCCGGTGGAGCTGGTGCTGCTGCTCACCGTTCCTGTGGTGGACCCTGACAAGGACGACCTGAACTGGAAGAGACCCCTCAACTGCCTGCACGTCCTCACCAGCCCCCTGCTCTGCGTCCTCACCCTGAAGTCGGGCGCCTGTAAGAGCCCGGGGTGGCTTTAGAGGACAAAGCTTTACCTTCTTCCACAAGCCTGGTCAGATCCTGCCCGGCCCACACGGAGCTGCTCTGATGCCCCCTCTCTCCACCCTGTGCAGATGGGCTGTACCAGATCCAGGGCATCTTCCCAGTCTGGGGACTCATCACACTGGTTGGCTCTGTCCTGGCCATCATCATCTTCATCACCACAAGCAATGAGGAGCCACCCAAATACCACTGCGTAAGGTGTCCCCCAGCCGTGAACATCCACCGGGGATCAGCCTGGCCTGCTCTGGGGGCAGAGCAGGAGCCAGGACCTCCTTTCCAGTCCCCAATGTCCCCCAAGAGGGACACAGCTAGCTGGAGGTCTACAGGGTCCTGTGGGACGCACCCAGGGACCAGCTTACCCCTCTGCCTGGCAGGTATTTGCCTTCCTGGGGTTTTTGGCCAGTGCCATGTGGATCAACGCCGCGGCCACGGAGCTGGTGAACATCCTCCGGACCCTGGGCATCATCTTCCAGCTGAGCAACACCGTGCTGGGCTTGACGCTGCTGGCCTGGGGCAACAGCATCGGTGGTGAGGGCTCCTCCGCTGCACCCAGCGCCCAGCGCAGGCGCACCCCTCCTCCTGCCATCCCCCAAGGTCTCCCCTTCTCCCTCTGCAGACACCTTCTCCGACCTCACCATGGCACGGCAGGGCTATCCCCGCATGGCCTTCTCCGCCTGCTTCGGGGGCATCATCTTCAGTATCCTTTGGGCGCCGGGTGTGGGTGGTGGTGCTTGGGGCAGGGGCTGCCTCAGTTTCCCTGCCCGCAGCCCAGGGAGAGCCCCTGCTCCTGGGGCAGCCTCTGGGCAGGATCCATCCCAGAGTCCCGGGGATGTTGGCAACCTCCCTGCTGGCCGCACAGTGCAAAGGGACTGGTGTGGTATTTAGGAGCTGCGGGGACAGAGCCGGGAGCATCACCCCATCCCCACGGCTCTGCCAGCCCCAGCGGGGTGGGGCTTTGGGCTGGAATCTGGCAGATTTGGGATCTACCAAAGAGAAGGAGGGGAAGAGGCTGTGCCACCATCCAGGAGGCTTTGGGTGGTCCCCAAACCAGAATGAAGTCTCTCCTCAAGCGCTTGAGGCTGTATTTGCCACAAACAGGCAACGCTTTGGGCTAGGCGGTAGCCATGGGGTGGGCACAGGAGGGCCGGTGCTGTCCCCCTCCCCAGGGCAGGAGGGACATGTCCGTCTCCATCGCTCCTCTGTGCTGTGTCTCCATCCTCAACGTGCCCCAGACATCCTGGTCGGCGTGGGACTGGGCTGCCTGCTGCAGATGACCAGCAGCCAGCTGGTGGTGAAGGTAAGGCTGCCCTGGTGGCAGTGACACGGTGGCACGGGTCGGACTGGCAGCAGGACCCCAAGTGTCACTCCACATCGCTCCCCATCTCTCCGGCAGCTGGAGCCCGACAGCCTCCTGGTCTGGATCCTCGCCGGGGCCCTGGGGCTGAGCTTGGTCTTCTCCTTCGTGTCGGTGCCCGCCCAGTGCTTCCAGCTGGGCAAGGCGTACGGCGTCTGCCTCATCCTCTACTACCTGGCCTTCCTCTGCGTGGCCCTGCTCACCGAGTTCAGGGTGATCCGTCTCTCCGCCATCTGACCGGTCCCACCGCCGGCAGGAGACGCGCACATCCATCCCCCTGACTCTCCCTCTGCCTCCCCGTCGCATCGGGGCCTCGCTCTCCCCTCTCCCTTGTCCCTGCCGTAGGGGGACAAGGGCACCTCAACCCCAACCGTGCCGCTGCCACCACGTGCTGGAGGCATCACGTGCCAGCCCGACCTTTGCTTTCTGGGGACGGGGGTGGGGGGGGTGTCGGTTGTTGTGGTTTGGGAAAGGAAAAGGAGCTGTTAGTCATTAGCTCCATCCTCTCCCTGCTCCGTTTAATCTTGTTTAACTTCAGGTGGTTCCGAGGAGGAGTGAGGTTAAGACCTCGGCTTCCTCCGGTCCCGGTGGCAGGGGTAGAGGAGAGGGCAGCTCCAGCGCCCGGGGTCAGCCACGGCAAAGGTTTTACCTCTTCAACCACTTTTATTTTGCCCCTCCGTGCTGGCTGGTGTGGGACGGGGCGAGGGCAGTCGGTGCCGCACGGGGTAAGGGAGGTCTCAGCGCCAAGTTCGTCACTGCGAAGGAGATGACGTGTTCGTACCGCGGGTCTGAAATAGCAGCCGAGGCGCAGCGAGACGGGGTGAAGGCGAGACAAAGCTCCAGGGCAGTGCTTGGGTGGTTTTTTTTTTTTTTAAACGCAAGCAAAGCTGGAGGAAAAATAAAATAACAAACCCAACAAACCAAGGGAGGCTGGTTTCCCCTGCTTTTTTTAAGCTGTGTTTTTCAACCTGTGTTTCAGATCCTATTTTTCTCCTCCTCCTCCGAGGGTGGACAGAGCTGTAGGAAAGAAGGTGGAGGTTTCCACACTCAGTGTGAGCCTCTGGCAAGAATAGGTTTAGGCACTAAAAAAAAAAAAAAGGCAATAAAAAAACCAAACACAAACCCAACGTCGCCTCGCGGTGTTTGCTGTGAGGCCGTTTTCTCCCGCTCGTGTCCTACTGTAGCACAACCCCTCACCCGGCACGGGGACTTCGGAGGGGGAGAGGGAACAGCCGCGGCTTCTCCGGAGCTAAACCAGCAGCGGGCTGTGGGGGTTGTCACCCAGGGCCACCCAGGGCCGTTTCACCCAGCGGCTCGGGGAAGTGGTTTTCTCCGGGTTCACCAGCAGTCGATTTCTCAACAGCGGTCACATGCGCCTGACTCGGCCATTTAGTTGCCGGGTTGGGAACTGCAGCGTCACGGCGGTCCACGGCACGGGGTCAGCACGGGCTGCGGAGGGGCATTACTCAGCTCCCCCCGGGGACGGGGATGCCGGCGGGATGGCCCCCGCAGGGCCCAGGGGGAGGGGAGCGGG